CATAGAATTTCCATTGTTTATATAGCATTGACAGCATTGTGTTTGTATTTCACATGTTAACATGACACATCACCTGCTTCAGGTATTCAGGTAGAGAAACTCTGACTCTGACTTTTACTTGATTTTTGTATGAACAGCTCTTTAAAGACACAGCTGCTGTCAAGGCAAAGACCCCCTGCCATTACTGCTGCTTCTCCCCACCAATACAATGTTTGTGACAAAATGAAATCCATGTGTGCTGGCTGCTATTGTGTTTCATTTAGAGTCCATTACCAGCCCCCAAGCTTTGCTTTTACAGGGTTTGCTCGATCAAGTCCGCTGCTCATTTAAATGCATTAGACGGCATTAACGATGAGATATCACCTGTCTGCCCTGGACAAAGTATAAAAGGGCCATTAAAACTGGAGTGCCCCGGATGCCCTCGCATCCATCTAGCACAGACTGAATCACAAAAGCAGAGTGAGAAACAAATAGGTGCGGATATCACGAATAATGTGGGTGAAAATACAAATTAAGCCGCAGCTCAGCCATTAACACTAGTTAGAGTTAATCATTGGCAAATGATAAATAAAGATGTAGAGCTGTATAATAAATGCTGACACTGAGGTTTTAATACTGTACACCGGGTTTCACAGAGTATTTATTATGCATGTGAACAGTGTCCATTAAGAGTCGGTCAAAGTTCAGACAACATAAATTTACTGAGGGGGTTTGGTTACCCAATATAGCTTATAAATAGGTAATATATAGGCTGTATATAGGCCAAATAGGCTCTTTCTTTCTTTCTTTGCAGCTTACAGTATCGTGTAGACTGACCTGGTTTCAAGCACCTCAGGGTGCATCTAGGTGTTACTCACTCACCTGCTGGCGACCTGTCTCTCTCCTCCATGGTCCTGCATCCGCTCGGCGAGCAGAGCTGCTGCGCTCTGCTCAGCACTGATCCGCCGGGGTCTGCAGGAAACTGATGGATTGCTCTCCTCGTCTGATGGAAGTTATCGGTCAGTTATAGGTGCTGAGAAAACTGTGCAGGTCCGTTAAAAACAACAAAATAAACAACAACCTCAGATGCTTGCAGTTTCACAGCTGCCAAAGCCTGGATGAGGTCCGTCGCTGCGCTTTGCTTGCTGCCCGCCCAAGATGATGATTCCTGCCTAGTTTCTGGAGATGCTCTGCAGTTTCTGTGACTTTCTTTGGAGGCGGATGAAATCAAAGCATCATCTGATGCTTGATGCTGTGATGAGGACACAGGCTGGGATCCCTCCTCTGAGCGCCCACCATCTCAACCTGCCAAGCAGCGGGAGGAGGGTGCGTGTTTATCTTTCGTTCCTCCAGTGGTCCGCATGACCCAGTTCAGCACCACACACACTGAGACGAACCCATTCATTCACATCTACACAGAGGCTTCAGCAAAGCTCTGCAGTCTGCATGGACACATCTACATGTTCCCCACTCCCTCTAAACTCAGCTCCGCGTCCTGCAGTCACTGTCGGCCGGTCAGTCTGGTCTGTCCGTCGTTCTAGCGGGACTCTGGGGTTGAGAGGGGGGGGGGGGTTGGTCTCAGATGTTGCTCCTCTGCTGGTCCTACCAGTCAGCTCCTTCATTGTTCACCGTCTCCACCCTCTGGCAAACTAATACTCTCACGTGTCCCGGGTCCTAGCGCCTGGACGCTCCCATCCCTCCACCATCCATCCTCAGTGCCTCCATGAGCTTTTTTACTTTTGATTCATGCTCTGAAGGAACAAGCTGCCCCACTCTTGCATAATTCAACAGCTTATGGCCTCAAGTACTTCACACGGTGACTTTGCCAACTGTCCTTAGGCCATTAGGTAACAGCGAAGTACGACTTTCAATTAATTCACTGCCCTGGCAGCTCCCCTTTACTGTACATGTTTAACAACAGGCCTCCTGCCAGGCGTGTTTGCCAACCACAACAGATTGGACTGAGAAAACAGCATCGACATAACAAGGATAACCACAGTGCATCATCATCACCATCAAGGACCACTGATGGAGTGAGTGAATGGGTGTTTGGAGAGGTGAAATAATTGGAAGCTTGTTTTCTTTTTTTTCAAAGAAATATCAGAAATAAGGACTGTGCTGAATTTCCTTCTATGTTTTTGTGTTACTTCCTGCCACTTTTAACTCACCTCAGACCCCAAATGTCAGATAATAAATGGGCTATACCAAAGAGCATCTTGATTTTAATTCTATTATTCCAGATTTTTTTGTATTAACTTTTTCTTTCTGTATCATTCTTTCTACTTTTTCCCCAGATTGCCTCCAGATGCAAGTGATGGCCATACCCAGGCTGAAACAAGACTAGGGTGAAATATTAGCTGCTTTTTTTTTTTCATCAGTCCAGGATCAGGAAGAGAGGATGAAGGAAGCCTTTAGAAAAAAAAGCAAGAACAGGGGAATATGAGCTTTCTGTTTTGTGAAACAAAATCATTTGACCAGGGGTGTTTTTATCCTTGTCGAGGAGACGGTGGATATTAAATAGCTGCATCTTCAGCACCTCTAAGACATTCAGGTTCCCCACACAGCACATGGCAGTGAGGCGGAGAGTTTCCTCGGGGGTTATCGTGGGAACAGAGCTGTCATAAATCATAGGAAGGGTCAAGCACTGTGGGCTGACAGCAGAGAGCACCGAGGGTCAAACACACCAGGGGGACACACCTCTGAGCTGTGAACAAATAGAGCACGGCTGCTCCTCCTGCTCCTCCTCTCCCCTCCTCACTTCTCTTTCAGACACCAGACTCATGTCCTAGTTTCTACTTTTTATGTGTCACCTCAAGTTTTCCACCTCTTGTTGTAAGGGGGTGGCCTTGTTTTGTCACTGTTCTCAAATTTCTCTTCATGTGGAGTTTACTCTGTTACTCTGTGTCCTAGCTGCTCTATAAACTGCAGTGTCATGGTGGGGGGACATTTACATCGGGTCTCCATCTGCTCTGTTTTAGAGTTTGGATAAAATCTACAACGTCACCAGGCGATACAAACTGTTAAACATATGATACAGCAACTGTGTATTTTTGAGACCCACAGGAGGGAACGACAGAAAGACATTCCTGTGTTTTTCTTCCTGTGCAGACAATTTAAAATTATTGCTGCATGGGCACCCGTGCAAGTCTGATTTAATTCTTGCTGTCAACCCCAATCAACGTGTCTGTTAATTGATGAGTAATAGGATCTCATGAGATTATTTGAGTTATATTTGCCGTAGCTGATTTCATTATTAGCAGAAGTGGGAGGAAAGTGGAATCAGTTTAAAATAATCTTACAGATGGGACACTTGATTCTCAATCACACCCCTGCCTGTAGATGAGTATGAATATGTAGCTCACATTAATAACTTTAAAAACGTTTCCTTGTCAACAGTCCAACTAAATCCCTGGAACATTTTTGCAACATTTGGTTTGAACAGCAGGTACTTAAACTTTGAACAGAAGGAGAGATTTTTCACTTTGGAGAACATGTGGAGTAACATTTAGCATTCAGGCAGAAAAAAAAAGGATTGAATTCAAAACAGCCTGCTCATGTACAAAGCTACACCCCACCTTCACACCTCCATGCATTGGTCCATAATAGCCTCTTTCTGTCTTACTTTAGCTCTCTCTTCCCTCGGCCTCTTTCATTTTCTCAGTCTCACCTGGTTCCCCAGTGGAAGAATGACTTTCTGACTACAATCTCAACAGCAGAGCTATTTCGCATCTTTCCTCTTTTTTTTTTTTTTTTACAATCCAAAAACAGAAAAAGCAACTCACAGCCACATCACCCTCTCCCACTGAACATAGTCATCTCCTCCTCTGCAGACTCCTCCTGTAACACCCCCGATATCTCATCCTTGGCTTCTATTCCATTTGGTTCTCATGACATTTTTACCATATTTCAATATGTGCGTGTGAATTGCAGTCTGGGATTTTTCTAGAATATGACATTTATCTCAGTATTAAAAAAAACAATACAGTAGATGTACAGTATTCCCTAATGACACATCTCAAAACTAAAAGCAACCAGAATTAATTGTTGAGATGTTTCTGAAAGACTTACAGAAAACACACACACAAACAAGTTCACCACTGATCTTTAGCGTGATTTTTCAGGTGAATTACTCTTGATAAACAATAGCATTCAGAGTCTTAATGTAGTTTGTCGTTTATATCATATTATATATTCCGACACAAAGTGCATTACAGAGGCATAGAAATGTAGAACATATAACATATTAGGAAGACATAAATGCTTAAAAGACAATAAAGAAAGCAACAAAGCACAAGCAAAAAGAAGCAAATAAATACTTCAAGATTAAAAAGACAGAATTTACAGAAATTTATTGGAAAGCCGCAGCAAACAATAATGTTTTAAGCCCTGATTTAAATGTGCTGACAGGTGGGGAGCATAAAACTAAAAGCTGTTTCACTGTGTTTGGATCCTGGGAAAACTTGGTAAACCTGGATGCTTTGTAAGATAGTCTACAAGTAAATCAGAAATTAGACCATTTAGTGCTTTATAGACAAGTGAAAGGATAATAAAATCTGTCCTTTGACACACAGGAAGCCAGTGCTGTGAATTAAGGACTGCTGTGATGTGCTCCACTTTCTTGGTGTTGGGGAAGACTCTGGCAGCAGCATTCAGGATGAGCTGCAGCTTTCTGGTTGATCTGTCAAGGCACCATTACAGTAGTCTCGCCTGCTGAAAATGAACGTATGAATACGTTTTTCTGTATCTTTTTTGGACAGAAATCATTAAATTCTTGCTGTGTTTTTAAGGTGGTAGTCTGATTTTGTAATTGTCTTTGTAGCAGATTAGTTACAGTTACATACAAATCCCATGCAGCAAATTACAAAAAAACCACACGTGTGAGCTAATGCTTGTTTTAGAGCCTTGTACATACAGCCAAATCTTAGCCTCAAGGCAAATTGTAAAAACGGGACTACATTTCCCATAATACCATTGGGTTTGTGCTCTTCGCGGTTGGTCAGGACTGGTTGATGACGGTAAAACTATGCGCGCGTAACCTTGTGCTACAGCACAGAAGTCCTGTCAAATCAGCTGTGGAAACAGCGTCAACACATTTCGATGTTATAGTTTGTCGTCAACATTATTCCGGAGCCATGAGCAAATATATTTTACCAGTCTCTGTGTTTGGGACAGTGTTTGGAGGCGCTGTTTTACTGAAGTGAGTAGCTCTTCATAATGTGACGTAAGGCCACTGTATCATGATGTAACATTATATTTCACACTGTGTTTATGTGCTGATACAAATATGCTGTGAAGTTGAGAGTCGGAGCCTGGGCACAATATGTTCAACACCTATATCTAATGCATACAATACACAACAACCCTGCTGCACTTCTGTGTGGCCCATAAAATGCACTTAACTCAGTCATAACCTGGCTGCTGTTGTACTGCAGTGAATTGCTGTATATTGTAAGGTAGTCTAATTATGTAAAGTTATTAACCTAGTAGTATTTTTTTCCTCCCATGGTGAGAGGACAACATTAACTGCTACTTAACAATTGAGTACAACAACTCAACAAAGTACAGACTCATTGGCCCAGTTCTAAAGATGGATATGCTTCACAAATGCAGCATATATAACAGGGTCATTGTACCGGACTGAAGAGGCTGTGAAGGTTTTCATAATATTCTGTTCACACTTAATAAGGCTTGTGTTTATTTAAATTAAGGGACTTCTTTGTTCTTCCATGTGTTATCTTACTTAATGAGATAGAACAATGTGACATGATGAGCCACTTTAGTCAACTTGAGGTCAAGTCCAGGACAAAATGCATGTTGGTCAAAATCAGGACCAAATGTTTAAGATGAAGCAATAAAACTGGCCAGATTCACCTGTGAGGGGTTACTATTAACCCTTTTCCTCCCCCTCTTGTGCAATGTACAGTATTCCTATGATGGATCATGAGATCTTGATTAAACACATAAATATAGAAGATATATGCAAGACTGAAATACTGAAGGTCTCAAGACTAGATTTTGACACAGGGACTTTCTTGAAGACTAAGTTATAAAGTAGGAACAACTTTAAAGCTCCAACACACCCAGAGTGAATCCACACAGGAGTTTTCACTTATTGCTGATTAGACCTCTTCGCTTATGTACAGAGTTTGGTGACATCAGCCTGACTGCAGGTCTAATCAGCCAATTATTGAAAACACCTGTGCTGGGCATTTAATATCAGTTGATATTGGGCTGCTGGGCTGCATATTCCCAAACACATTAGACTGAGAGAAATCCACCCGGTTTTGATGTTGAACTGGGAGGTGTTACAATCTCATGTGCCTAAATAAAAAATAAAACAGCACTGCACTTTGTTTTAATTCCTCCCATAGGAACCATGTGACTGGAGGCCGGTGTCCTAGTAAGGCTACTGTTACTGGAAAGACTGTGGTTATAACAGGAGCTAACACAGGCATTGGGAAAGAGACTGCCCAAGAGCTGGCCAAGAGAGGTGTGCAGAAAACATGATGTCACTCTCATTTGGTGCAAGTAGGCACAATAGCAAAAATCTTAAGCGGTTATTCTGTTCTTGCTGACACACTCCATTTCCCGTTCCCCACATCGTCAGGGGGCCGGATCATCATGGGATGTCGGGACATGGAGAAGTGCGAGGCAGCTGCAAAGGAAATACGAGGGAAGACCCTGAATCCTCACGTTTACGCCCGTCACCTTGATTTGGCCTCCATGAAATCCATCCGAGAGTTTGCAGAGTCAGTCAAAAAAGGTGAGGACACAAAACATATCGTGTGCTCAATAACAGAAATGAAGCAGAGTCAGTAATTTGTTGAATATGACTTTTATTGTCTTGTAGAGGAGCAGAGAGTGGATGTTCTGGTAAACAATGCAGGGGTCATGAGATGTCCAGCATGGAGGACAGAAGATGGCTTCGACATGCAGTTCGGAGTGAATTACTTAGGTACTAGAATGAAAACAACAGGCAAATTAAGACGGATAGTGCTGTCTCTATAAAAAAAATAAATCTAAACAATCTTTACATTACTTAAGCTCTCCCTTATTCCATCACTACCTGATTTCGATAGTTTCTCTCTTCCTCCAGGCCACTTCTTGTTGACAAATCTACTGCTGGATAAGTTGAAAGAGTCCGCCCCCAGCAGAGTGATCAACCTGGCCTCACTCGCCCACATCGTTGGAAAGATTGACTTCGAGGACTTGAACTGGGAGAAGAAGAAGTTTGATACCAAGCAGGCGTACTGTCAGAGCAAGCTTGCCAATGTTCTGTTCACCAGAGAGCTCGCCAAGCGATTACAAGGCAAGTCTACTGGCTGTTGCATATGTGGGCATGTGTGGGAGGGAGTACGGCCTAGGTTCTTGTTTGTAATTGGCCATTGGATATATATTTTTAAACAATGCTGTGTGTGTGTGTGTGTGTGTGTGTGTGTGTGTGTGTGTGTGTGTGTGTGTGTGTGTGTGTGTGTGGTGTGTGTGTGTGTGTGTGTGTGTGTGTGTGTGTGTGTGTGTGTGTGGTGTGTGTGTGTGGTGTGTGTGTGGTGTGTGTGTGTGTGTGTGTGTGTGTATGCGTGCTTGTAACAGGCACAGGAGTCACAGTGAATGCTGTACACCCAGGCGTTGTTGCCACGGAGCTCGGGAGGCACACCGGTTTGCACCAATCACAGTTCTCGAGCTCTGTGCTCAGTGAGTATCCTGCTTACTTATTGGATTCCGAATTTAGAGTAATCGATAAATCCAGTCAGGTTCTGCTTACCTAATACATATGCAACAGTAAGCTTAGGCCGTACAGATTCTGATATGTGGCAATGGTCTCAGCGAACTTTCTACACCTCTCTTCTTGTTCTGGATAAATAGGCAGAACCTCAAAAATAACTTGCCACATTTCTGCAATACCACCTTGCAAAAACACTCCATTAAAGTGAGAGTCCTCTACTGAAAATGGTACTTGATTAAAAGTGCATAAGTATTAATAATGAAATATACAGTGAAATGTAATGGTACAATACTATTATATATTTTATTGTTAGATTATTATTAATGATACACAAAGGAGCAACAAGTGTTTAACTGTTGTTGTTGGTTGAGGTGCAGCTAATGTTTAACCACGTCATAAACTGTTGGGTAGTTTCATGCATTGTAATTTATAAACTCATTTAGATTTTGTATGTAAAATCTTAATGCATAAAGTAACTTCTAACTAAAGCTGTGAAATAAATGTGTGAATTTAAAACAAAATCACCAAAATCAGTATTACAAGAGTTTTACTTCACAGCTACATGTTCTACATTATCTCAGCCGCCTCTTAGAAAAATTCTATTACAGTTTAAATAAAACCTCTGAAATCTGAACTCACAGTGCTCCCATTGCTGTTGCCGCGACAGCTTCTCTGTACTCTGTTCTGGGAATTGGCGGATAGATTTTTCTTTTCTCTTTTCTTTTTTTTTTACTCTGCAATGATTATATTTATAATTACATGATACACTCTGGGGTAATAAACAACCTCCACTGTGAGGAGAAAAGCGTCTGGTATTGAGATCATTTACAGTCAGTGAAGAAGATAATAAAAATTAACAATACAACATGTGCAAATACAACGTGTGATTTAGATGTGAAACGTAACTTAATGTAATTGATGCACCTTCTTGTACGTGTTTCATTTAGTCATTTACCAGAGACAACAGGACGGCTCCAGTTACTACTTGAATTTGTACTTGACATTGGTCATTTAATGAAATACAAGTATTTTATTGGAGCCAAACCATCAAAACTTCTCTGTGGACCCCCACCCCCCACCCCACCCCACAGGTCCCTTTTTCTCTCTGTTGGTGAAGAACCCAGAACTTGGGGCCCAGCCGAGCATCTACCTGGCCGTGTCTGAGGAGATGGAGGGTGTGACGGGACGCTACTATGATGTGATGACAGAAAAGGAACCAGCGCCCCTGGCCCTGGATGAGGAGGTTGCTCGTAAGCTGTGGGAGGTCAGCAGCAGGCTGGTCGGTCTGGAGGAGGAAGGACAGACCGGCAAGTCAAACCCTCCAGCGGAAGGCCAGTGCAAAACTGCACAGACGGACCCAGTGCAAAAACATGGACACAGCCCAGGACCAGCTGTCAGTGCTGTGGGGCTGTAGGTCGGCTCTGGCCTCTGGGCCAGTAGGAAATAATGGACGTCTATGACTTCAGCTATGCCAGGCTCATTGCAACAATTATCTGTCTGAGTCTGTGATTCTGGTTGTCTGTATAATGGCAGTTTTTTGTACATGCCTTTATGTTCCTGCATCAGGATATGTCTTTAAAACATGTACAACAAGCAGCCTTTGACAATGGACTTTTGACTCGTTCTTGCTTATGCCTCTGCGCTGGTGACAGAATTCTTGGGTTGTCCATCCCTCTGTCCGTCCCATTCTCATTAACACGATATCTCAGTTAAGCCTTGAGGAAATTCCTTCAAATTTGGCACAAATGTCCACTTGGACTCAAAAATGAACTGATTAGATTTTGGTGGTCAGAGGTCAAGGTCAGAGTTATCTTAACAAAGAACAGTTTTGGCCTCCTGAATTTGATATCTCAAGACCACCTTGAGGGAATTTGTTTAGATTTCGCATAAAACATTCACTTGGACAGATGAGCTGATTAGAATTTGGTGGTCAAAGGTCAAGGTCACTGTGACCTCACAAAACACGTTACCGGCCATAACCCACAAATTCATACACAATTTAATTCAAATTTCTATAAGGACAAAATGAAGTGGTGACATTTTATATCCAAATGGTCAAAGGTAAACTTCACTGTGACATCATAATGTTCTTTAAAAACACCTCTGGGTATTATTCAATGCTTTAACTCAGCAAGGGGAAAATGTGACCAGATTTCCTGCAACCACGCTGCTTCGCAGGAGGCATACGACTGCGAGGCGGTACTTCTGGTTTTTCTTTTAAAAAGAGAGTATGTATCTTTAAATGGACATTTGAGATTGCTAATTCAGATTGTGTTAATTTGTTTGTTTTGCTGAGTTTATGACTGTTCTCTAATTGTGTTGCTGTTACACAGTCTTTACCAGTGAAGAAGGTACATAGTGTCACTGCACTTCATTCATTACAACACATTAGAAAAATTTATATGAAGCACTAAAATAAAGTGCCAGCAAAGACTGCTATTTATTGTTATATGTATGGTAGGTGGGATTAAAACTGAAAGGGGCTCATCTTATCTTAAAATAACCAAAACATTTAATTAAAAATCTCCACCGTAAAACATGAATATTTAAACGTTTTTCATCTTACAACTTTTCTACAATATAGTTTTCTTTCACTCCTAAAAATCACATCACACATAAGCACAAACAGTATTTAGCCCCTATTTTCAAATGATATTTGAATCTGGTCTCAGTAAATTTGAAGTACAAGTGTATTTATAGTAGGAGGCATTCTTCTGCAACATCACTGTAGGTTCACAGTTAAGACTGCTGCAAATGGTTTTCTCTTTGTGGATTCAAGCAGAAAATGCTGACATATAGTGCCATCTGGCTGCCAAGCATTAAACTACAGGTGCCTGGGAGCTGATCCGCATTAAACCTTTTATTCAAATGGCCTTAGTTATTTTTGCATAATCTTTCTTTTTTTGTACAGATTATGTGTACATTAGTGCTGACCATTTTCTTAAGTATGCAGTTGTTTTAAATTTTTGAAAGTACTTTTCTTTGAAGCCATTGATTTAGTTTAGTTAAACATGGTATAAAAATCAATTTGCTTACTTTACTTATATACTAATAATCGATTACAGAAAACGTGGCCTATTTTCTTTTTTTATCGTTGCATAGTATCCTGATGCAGACACTGTAGATCACTTTACACTTACAACTGCTTCACCATACAATCACATTATAACCTTTATAATCTCGACAAAAAAAAAAAAAAAAAAAAAGACTGCAAATGGATTTCCATACTAACATACACATTACTTAGAAAGTTTGACAGGCATAGTCAAAATATAAAACAGTATAGTATGAAAAAAATGTCAGTAATTGTGGTTTCCTGGCAAAAGTGGAAAATATTGGCATGGTCCTTTGAAGTTAAATTTACTAGTCTCGACATTGAACACCTGTAGCAGTCCTCAGTCAACAAACATTTTCATAGACTGTAAAAGTATATCTAAGGAGGCATGACAGATAACTACCTTACACAATTCACAATAGTGCTTATTTACCAAAAGAGCTCCCAGTAATGACAGACAGTTAGCATTAGCTACCTAGCTACATGTTAGTAACTTTGTGCCAGCACACATCAACAAACTGAAAATGTAAAGTCAAAATATACAAAATTGGCTACCAACTATTCAGAAATGTCCTGCTGCAGTTGTAGAGTTTGAATTTCTTCAGGAGCCTCTGCCTCTGGGTCAGATTCTGAATAAAAGTCATATGGTTGAACCAAAGCCCTTCTGACACAGGTCACAGGTCACCGGTCACCGTAAACATTACAGCATGGTGCCAGAAGCCCAAGCCGCATCCCCTTCCAAAGAGGGGCGTGGTCATTTGCATTTAAAGCTACAGACACAGAAACAGCCTGTTCTGAACAGGGCTGAAAAAGAGGGGTTTACAGGCATGCTGAAATATAGGATCGGAGTGGATTTTTTAGCAAGAAACTTCAAAGACATGTTTTGGGGACCTCTGAGACTTATTTGAACTTGTTGAAAAGGAGTATAATATGTCCCCTTTAAAGAGTCTAAGCATCCATTAAGTGCAGCTCTGTAAAAAGCAAATCAAACCAATGAAGTTACAAAAGCACTCATCTTACATTTCTGATTCTCCCCAGCATGAATCTGCAGTCATGCAGCCTAAGTGCAGAGGATGATATCCATCCCAAAAGTCTTTGAGGGATCCATTGCATAGGGCTTTTTCCAACAGTAAATCCCAAAGTACTGATCAATATTGCCCACTCTCTGTTCCAGTGCACACTGATTGGCCTCAAACCTGAAATGATACACCCTGGATCGTTTATTTCAGTGTTAGTTTACCGGAGAGAACCCTTTCTGGTGCCATCCTAGAAGATGATGAGTATTGGAGATGAGCAACAGAATCACAGGATTTTCCCTTGCTCCCTGGACTGAAAAGACCTTTACAGTCTCTTGAGCATGTTGTTGACTGATATGGTTTCTCCTTCTAGCATGGATCAAATCAATCCTGACCTCTAAAGTTTTGGACTCGCAGTATTTTCTGAATTTTAACGCTGTTTAATATGTATATTCTCCCTATCATTACATTCTGTCTCTTAAACAGACAAAAAAAAACGTGTGGAAAACGAGACATTCGTGCTCTTGAACACGCACGCACGAATCAGACGGACTTCATTGCCCACAATGCATCAGTGAAGGACACCGAAAAAGTAAACGTCCAAAGTACAAATAGTTCCTGCTGAAAAAAAAGAAACATTTTATGGGTGAGGAATAATGTAAAGGTACCTCATCAGATTCAGATAAGACCTTCGTGTGCAGGTCGTGTGTCACCGAAGAGGAGTTGGACGCTTCTTTCTGCACTTCTACAAAACTAGCTTGTTTTCTTCAGCAGGAAACACGACGGCAGCTACATGTTAGTACCGACATATTTACATAACAGCATGCTGTGTAAAGCGGTGGATTCATTTATTTCACTTAGTCTGCAGTAGATTTAATGAATGTCAGTTGCAGTGCTGTGATGTGAAGCAAAAATACGAATCAAAATGCCTTTCACTGAGTTGGAGTGACGGTCTGTGTCACTGCAATGCAGTTTTCCTTAGTTTGGCATCATGATTTTTGTAACTCCTCACCTTGCCACAAACTTATGTTGATGTACCCTCATGACCTCGAGTAACTTGACAACTAATGTAGAAAATTACTGATACAATATTGTGCTTATTGGCATTCAGTTTTATACTACTGTTACACTGTAAGTGTGATTGACTTTAAATTCTGCAATGCTTTGGAGGGTACGTCACAAAAATCACGACAGCATGTCAGCAGCAGTACAAATAGGAACACGTAGATTCTTATGAACAATGACGAAAAAGAGAGTAAAACAACCTTTTTAGATGAATTTAAATATCTGACAATTCTAACAAAAACAATCATTATTATCTAGATCCGGACCGCTGCAGACAGGTGTACTGAGATATATATACTGGGCTGCATTTGTGCAACTCCTGTATTTACAGACCATTCAAATTCTAGATTTAGATGATGGTATTGCCGGTGTGTTTGCATCTATTTGACATCATTATTTATCAGCATGGCAGGTCCGCAGAAAAAGGGAGAACTGCTGCCAGAAGATGTGGGTACAGATGACTGCCTGACTTCATACACGCACATCTACAGTCCAGATTTACTAAAGTAAGCATGAAAACGTGATTTTGGATGAATTTCCCATCACCATTACCGATTGATTTACTGCATTTCACTGTAGTTGGCTCTGTGCAGGACTACTTTTTGTTCACTTGTCACTCTAATAACTGCATAAGGTGACCTTTGAGGATTTGCCCTTTATTTTTCAGGGATCAGGTTGCTTTCATCACAGGTGGGGGATCTGGAATTGGACTCAGAATAGCTGAAATCTTCATGAGGTGAGAGGGAGTGCCAGACTATTTCTACCTAACGTCGGTCATAAATCTGTAACATGGAGAGTAATTTCATAATTCTGTGTCAGAATTATGTCATTACTATAAGTCTTAAACAGCAAAATGTGTGAGGGAGATGGTATGTAGGTGCACTTTAAACCCTCGAGTTGTGTTATCTGCTAGTCAGTTTCATCATTTTGCTTGAGCTTGTGTGACAAAGTTGAAATAGTTAAATATTAAACTAATGAGGCAAAAATTGTTTATCTTTTATAAAAATCAACACCTCACCTTGTAACTTAATGTCCTGGTTGTTTATAGTGATGACTGCCAGATTTGTAGACTTCAGGCTCACCCCTAAATGTTCTTGGCTCTAACATTTACTTCATCCCTCATTTTTTATGTTGCGTCCCCTGTTTCCTGTTCTCACCTTCTGTCCTACTTGTCTTGTCATCAAGTTACCCCCGCTGTCTCCGTGTTAGCCTCACACATGCAGGTATCCTTGTTCATATCATATTTCACTCTCTTCTTTCTTTCAGGCACGGCTGCGACACAGTGATTGCCAGCAGGAACTTGGACAAGCTCAAAGAGGTTATTCCTCTTGCACAATTTCCACAATCCTAAAAGATGTATGTTAAGCCATCACTAAATAGTAATGCGATGGCCTCATGTGATGTCTCTGTGTGTCTCTCTAGGTCGCTAAAAAGCTGTCTGCTGTGTCAGGACGCCGCTGTCTCCCTTTGTGTATAGATGTGCGGCAGCCTGAGAGCATCGCAGCAGCTGTGGATGAGACACTGAAAGAGCTGGGCCGTGTAGACATCCTGATTAACAGTATGTGACCTCTTAATCACAAGTAGAAAAAAAAATGTGTTTTTGTGCTGGTGATTAATGCGTTTGCGGTGGGAGCAGTCTCTCACCAATTAGCTACTTGTCATTCTACAAGGCATCCTGCTAACATAGGTACAGAGATATTTTAAGGTGTCTGTAAGGTGAAGCAGGTGCACATGTACTTTGAACAAAGGCCAAGTGTGTCGTTTAATCATCAACTGTTCTGATGCTGCATCTATCTTTATCTTCTATGTTTGCAACCTACTCGCTGTTACATACTGTTACATCACTACAAGATTATTATTAGTTGTCAAATCAAATTCAGATCGCCTATGCAAGGTGATCTCTGTTTCTTTAATGTACCTCCTAATGTAGCTTTAATGAAGCATATAAAAAAAAAGCATTCATGAAAAATTCAACTCCTCTGTCTGTGTATGGGATTTCTTTGTTCAGTGGTGTGTCATAATTTTGGCCCCGGTGCTGTTTCTGACAGATGCTGCTGGAAACTTCCTCTGCCCGGCTACGGCGCTCTCCTTCAATGCCTTCAAGACGGTCATGGAGATAGACACTATGGGTACATTCAACACCAGCAAAGTGGTTTATGAGAAGTGGTTCAAGGTACAATGCATGTTTTCATCTGTCTGTGTGACACAATATTCCTTAACTTCAAGTTAAGGAGCTATAGATAAATTGTTTACTGCCCCACAGCACATAATTGATGATAGTACTGTATCTACAGGAAGATAATTAGGTAGTTGATCAATAACTTTCAGTCAGATTCACTTTCTGCAATTCCCCCTGATCACCAAAAGAGGACAGTAAAGATCACAGATTACTGAATGCTGCCTTTTTAGCTAAATGGGAGTTAAATGGCAGCCTCTGCTCTCTGAAGCTGTTTTGATCATTTACGTATTGCATTGATTTCGAGCCTCCCATCATTTGTGGGCGCAGGATCACGGTGGCAACATAGTGAACATCTCTGCAACACTGGGCTACAAGGGGCAGGCCCTCCAGGTGCATGCTGGCTCTGCGAAGGCTGCAAATGGTAAGAGCATTTTCAGTGTTACGTAACGGCTTCCAAATGAGAATCTAATGAGTCTCTGCTGCCTCTGCTGTCCTCAGATGCCATGACTAAGCACCTGGCTGTGGAGTGGGGGCCCAGTGGGGTGAGAGTCAATGCTGTGGCGCCAGGTCCTATCTCTGGCACAGAAGGATACCGCAGACTGGGTAAACACTATGTTCACTAAGTGGCTCATTTGATGCTTGTATATTAAACAAGCAGTCCTGTATTATAAGCAATGTTTTGATCTCTTACAGTATGCAACGATTTCATAAACAACCCTCAGAAACATTTACAATCGGGTTGATTGAAAAATAATTGTAACAATAAATTGTGTAATTAGACTTGTATATAATTAATAGTGTTAAATAACACCCGTGTGTGGAATTTGACGGACAGTGCTAGACAGAAAACATTGGGCCCCTTGGATGTGTAGCATAACAGTGTAAGTAAGAGTGTCTGGTAATGCTTTTTTTTTTTCATTTTAAACCTCTCAGGTGGCCCCAGAGGGGAGGCTGCTGGTGCCTTCCAGTCCATTCCTCTGCAGCGAGCAGGCAACAAGACAGAGATGGCCCACTGCACTCTTTTCTTGGCCAGCCAGGCATCGTCCTATGTGACTGGAGCCATCCTGGTGGCTGATGGCGGGGCGTGGTTGACCTCCGCCAATGACGTCTCCATGCTGTTGGGTATAGCCACCTCTAAATCCGCTAAACTCTGAAAAGGGGCTCTCCTGTCCTCCTCCTGACCCAGGTGTGTAGGAGGAGGTGCAGCTTGAGGTCCATGTGGAGAGACAGTATATGATTGAGAATGAAGTGATTGTGTTGTGGATTGTGTCTTCTCAAAGTTTAAATGACAGGAAAACAATATGACACATATTAATCCACTTGTCTCTCTTATTTTCTTTCAGGTTATTGGTCATCTGAAAAGAAAAGAGACAAGTAAATGCTGAAAACAAACGGGTAATTTAGGGGCTACCTGCAGAACTGATATGCTCCATGTACAGTGTTTGTGGTGTATCTCACCCACTGCTGTCTGTAGAGTGTGTTGGAGGAGTTGAACACTAACATGCTATACTTCTTGTATTATATGTTACAATCTTAGAAGTGGATCAACTTATATAACAATTCTGGGATTTTTCAACCTCTACAGTGCCATGTATTATACAGTAATCATGCATTTCATGTACAGTCGTGTTTATCACATGCCATTTCATGTGGTTTCTCAGTACCTCTCATTTATTAATAAAACTTTTGTATAATTAGTTAATAATGATTACAGTTTGCATTTACCATTGTAAGTCATTTTTCTTTTGTTTTTTGGTAAAAAGATCCAACTTCCTTGGCTATTGAAGTTTGGATCATACCTGTAGAATGAAGCTGACTGCTTTTAACGTTTAACGGAACAAAAATACACACACACTCACACACACAAAAAACAAATATGATTACACAAAATTATCTTCTTGAATTTTCCCATTTTTTCCCATGTGAAATCCAGGATAAAGATCTGTGAAAATCCTACAAGTGAAAGAGTTGGAAAAGGAAAAAAATCTCTTGATTTTCACTTGTAGCTCATGTCCACCTGTGACTAGTGGTTGTAAGTATATGGTAATTCGATACAAGTCAAAATTGGTTGAGAGCCACCACTGAATTAAATGACCAATATGATGAAGCCTATAGTATGTAACTGCAAATCTGAAGAAAATCAATACCGCTGCAAGTCAGATGGGGGCGCCAAAACATTACAATTGCATCCATTAAACAATTTTCTCAAAATGATGAATCTCCTGTGTCCACATGAGTTGTCCAACAATATCATATTGGTTTATATGTTATGTCAGGAGTTATTAGAGCTTAAAGAAACAACCGTTTAACCGGTGGACCTGGCGGCTTCACAGACCACATCCACCGAATGAAATGCCATTGAGCAAAACAAACCCTGTTAGTTGGTTCTGCTCACTACACTGACCCCGAACTTTGACCTCCGGCTGTTTCAAATACTGTCATTATTTGACGTATGTGCGCAGGTGAGTGTTTTGTATATTGGCCACGAGCCTTGTGCATAAACACAAATCATAAGGTGATAGCTGGTAGCTGCCATAAAACCAATGATACTGCGGGGTATTTTGTACGCTTGCGTGAAACGTCAGTGGTGTGTATGCGGCTGGAGGAGGAGGAGGCGGCGGAGGAGGATGGGACACTGCTGATGCTGATGCGAGAGCTTTCGGTGTCTGTGATCAACATCGGTAGACTGACCGCTACATGATGGAGCTTATTCGTCTAATTTAATACCCCTTTTCGTTTCCTTGTGGGTTTCGACCAGAGCCGCTGGGACAGATGTGTGTTTTGAGACGAGAATAATAAAGGAATTCGGGGTCTCGTCTCGTCACTCGTCTGGCCTGTCTTGTGACTGACACAGGTGGATTGCTGCTGGAAAACGGAATCGAAGTGAAGACATAATATTGGACTATAACAGAGGCGGCAATTCCCGCAGCTACCTCTTGAACCGTGGAATATTGAAGCTGAGACATTTGGTTTAATTTCACTGAGAGGGGTTGGGGGTGGGGGGGTGGACCGTTGGGCTTGTTAGCTAGCTAATAGGCTAATTTCGCTAGCTAGTCAGTTAGCAGCATTCCTGGCCAATGGCACGGAAGAAGTGGGATGCTCGAAGGAGGAGTTAATGTTAGTTGCTAGCATAAATTCATTTGAGGAAAGACAGTCGGCGATATATGTAGTAAACCGCCTTGTAATGAGAGATTTAAAATGAACGGTACAGCTCGAGGTTAATTCATGTTTGAGTAGCGCTGGTCACATCGTTTCCTCGCCGCACTGTGTGCTCCTCGGCAAATTAGCTTGCGATGGATAAAATCAGATAATCGGCTAAGAAAGCTAATGTTGACAAACACTGGTGACTTAACGCTTTAATTTATGCTGTTTCAAACGGTCTCGTTGCCAATGATGCTGTCAGTAGTGTTTGGCAGTTGAGCTCTGAGACTTTATTTCGGTGATTTATTAGCTTTCAGGCCGAAGTGAAGCATGTTGACGTTGGATGTGCTGAAGCTGGAACATTTGGCAACAACCAGGAGCGGGTCTGCCATGACAGAGAGGGACATAGTGAGTCAAAACACACTTGCATCAGTATTATATCTGCTAAAGCTAAGAAATTAATATGACTTTTGAGTTTAGGTAACATTGTTTTCGAGGTGTGGACGGCAACCACTGAAGCAGAAAACAACAAATACAGCAATTTGTTACTCTGTAACCTGCCTGACATCGTTTCTGTAACCGACCGACTCTCTTAAAATGATCAATTTTGATTTACCTTTATGCAGTTATTTATAAAATCACAATAACTACCAGCATCTTTTAAATGTCAGAGCTAGACAATGCGTGTAGGAATTCCACACATTTATTTAAAGATTTCACTGAGAAAGTGTGGGGCCATTTAAAAACATGGCATTAAAATTGAAGAACTGGATCTTGACGACAGCAGTGAGATAAGACGTCAGCAGCTTTCACAAGTTTGCGAAGGGACACAGCCAATATAAATGGAACCGACAGTTCTGTCTGGCCCTTTGGGGCGCACACAGTGGGAGTCAGACCAGCCATTTCCTCGTGGATTTCACACACTGGATTCAGACAATGGAGGTGTGCTTTGTCAAAACATGAGTGGCCAAACAGGTTTGGATTTCAGAGACGGTGACCAGGATCAAACATCCCAACAAAGTGAAGAAGAAAAGGTTTTCCAGGACAAGCCGGTAGAGTTGGACAACCTCATAAATATCTCTGATTTTTCTTGTGGAGATGTGCAATTTGAGGCCAATCAATCCATAAACTGCAAAACCTCTCTCCATCGTACTCATCTAGAGGAATTGTCTTACACAGAAAAAACTGAGGGACCTGATGAAATCAGTGACTGTACTTTATCATGGCTATTTCCTCCCAACCTCACTGATGTGGTTGGAAAAAACTTTGCCTGTGAGGAACTGAATGTGACACAGGAGGCCCTTCTTGAGGGCTCAAATGGCCTCAGTAGTCAGGCTGAACTAATAAGCCTCAGTGTACCTGTCTCTCCATCAAAGATTTCCACAAGGAATTCCGAGGCCAACATAAGGGATCCATTTATGTTGGTAGATCTCTCAAATGACACCCCTTGTCTCCCCCCAGAGTCTTCAGGTGAGTTCAACCCACAGGGTGTCAGTGAGGAGCTGGTAGACCTGTCACAAGAGGAGCAGGCGGATCTCCCTCCCTCACAGAGCAGGGAGACTTTGTCACCTGAAACTGGAGACAAAGGTTTATTCCCTGATCAAGTGACTGATCTGCCTGTAACCAGTAGCACTACCCTGGAAGGATTGCCTGAGAACTGCTTCTCACAAAACCATGTCAGCACGCCACTGGAGTGTTTTGAAGGATCTGTGCCTTTGTTGGATTTAAAGGTTCCAGATTGTGACAGCAGTCTGAGCCTGTGCCCAGCCAGTCCTGCCTCTGTTATCTGCACAGGTGCGCTGTCACATTTATCAACAGAGGAGTCAGAGGTGGAACATGCAGGAGCTGCTGTAATTAGAAATCTGACTTCAGAGCAACAAGGTGAGAATGACTCATTTGCTCTGAGTTTGTCAGCTGAACCTTCATCACTGACAGTGCCTCTGGCTGAAGATGCCTTCATTGAGGGGGATTTCACCAGTGAGAGTTATTCTGTGGAGAATGTGTCTAAGGATTTGATGGAAGACAAAATTTGTTCTGAAGCCAAAAATCAGGGGAATGAGGCAATGGCTTTGGATCTGTGCTTGACTGCTGATGAGGTCCATGATGAGGAAACATGGGATTTGAAACCACAGGAGGGTGTGCAGGGTGGAAGTGTTCCAGATCCAACAACTGAACAGAGGGAAGAGGAGAAGGTGATAGACACTAACCAGCTGGAACGATCAGATTGTCATGAAGTAGCCCCCTTTGATTTTTCAGTTCAGGACTTGAACACTTCTTCTCCTGAGGCTGGATGGACTAGTGAGCAAACTGTGGAGACAATTTCCCTCTCTAAGATGGTGGTAGATGACTCACTGCCAATGGTTTCAGCTGTGAGCACAAGAGAGGAAGATGTCTCCCCACTAAAAGCTGTATTCGACGCTTTAGACCAAGATGGAGATGGCTTTGTTCGGATTGAGGAGTTTATGGAGTTTGCTGCTGCCTATGGGGCTGATCAGGTAAGATCCCTTGTTTTTCTGTTGATTGCCCCCCCCCCCCTAAGCTGGCAGCTACTGGGTAATGCATGCTGAGTGCAGTTCTTTGTAAAACCATATAAACTTCCATATACGTAAATGATTTATTATTGATTTTCCTGCTGCACCTCGGAGAGCTTCCTGCAAAGAGTCTGCTTCATGCAGTCAAATGAAATTCATCTGGCTGATGTCGCTTTTACAGTGTTTCAAGTGGTTTAAGATCCAAATCTATTTTGTTGTTAGTCAGTAAATGCCAAGTTTAGTCATTTTGAATGATAGTTCTGTCAAACCAAAATTTACATATAGAGATTAGTACTGTGGTGGGTATCATTGATATGACATCAAATATGAGTTAAAATGTTTTTATGAAGTACACCAGGTTTATGTTGCCCCTTACATATAATGAAGCAGAGGTAACATGACCCGTGCTTGGGTGCTGTTGTGTTCCCCACAAAGCAACTCTCAACATTCAGTGTAATAGATTTGGCTAATGCTGCTGCATATTGTTAAAACCATGGCTGGATTAGTTTGTCGTCTATATTTGGTGAGTATTCAAGAGCGAGGATTTGGGTTATCATCGAGATAAGTCTGTCGAGCATATTGGCTGTAATGAATTCTGTCAGGCCTGGAACTCCTCCATATGTCAAATGACAAGCACTCATCTTCCCATTTGCATATCCCGTGGTTTGGGGATAATCTCATGTGAAATGGTTGATGATTCTCACTACACCCATGACACTCACCCATTTGTTGTATGTCACCCTTTGCAACAGGTTTTTAACTTTACTTTTGCCAGATAAGTTAGTAAGTTACAGGTCAAGAGACAACAAACCATTCCTAAAAAAAAAAAAAAAAAAAAAAAAAAAAAAAAAACTTGAAACCTAAACTTAAATCTTCTGTAGGTTCAGGTGGTCTCACCGAAAGTTAAATTCAATTTGGCACAGACCTCACACGCCCCTGAGTAAAAAATTACCTCAGTTTCTTTTCCTGTCAGACGTGCTTCTTTGTATGCTTGTTTAACTGTTTACAGGAATCGCACTGAGC